CCGCTCCTGCCGGAACTGTTTTGTTCACTCCATCTGACGTATTTACCCGCCGCCGTAGCCTACACCTGCCCTTTGCCATACTCACCGTGGAATCCGGTGCTACCGCCATGCTCGTTGTGAACTCGCTATCGTCGTCAGTTACCTTACTTCGTGGAGAATGTTTGGGGAACATACAAGACGTTGACCTCTTGCACCCTCTGGAGTTTGCCGAACAACCACCTCACCTCCAGCTCAATGCAATGGCGCCACCTGTGGCCACACTGCCCGCGCCAGACTCATTCCAGCTCTTTGTTGCCGCTGAGCTATCGCCGACACAAAGACGCGAACTCTTGTCCCTTCTTCGAGAGTTCCATTCTGCGTTCGATTGCGCTCAACCATCTTTGGGTCGCACAGCGGACATCACGCACCACATTGACACCGGTACTCATGCTCCCTTACGCCAAGGACCATATAGAGTTTCAGCGGAAGAGCGCCGTATTATCAACGAACAAGTCGACGATATGCTCAAGCGTGGTGTCATCCAACCATCGCAGAGCCCTTGGTCGTCCCCTGTTGTACTTGTGCGCAAAAAGGATGGGTCTATCCGATTCTGTGTGGACTACCGCCGGCTCAATAAGATAACTCGGAAGGATGTGTACCCATTGCCACGCATCGACGATGCTCTCGATTGCTTGCAAGGAGCAGAATATTTCTCCTCTTTAAATTTACGCTCAAGATATTGGCAAGTTCCAATGGCTGATCCTGACCGATCGAAGACTGCATTTGTAACACCTGATGGGCTGTATGAGTTTAACGTTATGCCGTTTGGACTCTGCAACGCCCCAGCTAACTTCGAACAGATGATGGACACCATCCTTCGTGGCTACAAGTGGAACACGTGCCTCTGCTACCTAAACGACATCGTCGTGTTTTCTCGTGACTTTTCGACTTGCCTTATTCGTCTTCGTGCTATTCTCGCGTGTCTCACCTCTGCTGGCCTTCAACTTAAAATCAAGAAGTGCCATTTTGCCGCACGTCGGCTCACTATACTGGGTTACGTCGTCTGCAAAGAGGGTGTTCTCCCGGATCCGGTGAAACTCCGCGCCGTGGCTGACTATCCGAAGCCCAATTCCATCAAGACGCTTCGAAGTTTTATCGGCCTGTGCTCATACTTTCGTCGATTTGTGCGGAACTTCTCTTCCATCATCGCGCCTCTTACCAACCTGTTGACAACTTTCAAAGGCATTTCTGCTTGGTCAAAAGAGTGCGACGAATCCTTCACCGCGCTGCGGCGGTTATTATCATCACATCCAATACTACGTCATTTTGACCCCGATGCGCCTACAGAGGTCCACACCGACGCCAGTGGTGTCGGTCTTGGTGCTGTATTGGCTCAACGAAAACCAGGATACCAAGAATACGTGGTCACTTACGCGAGTCGAACCCTCAAGAAAGCCGAGTGTAATTATTCCATCGCGAAGAAAGAGTGCTTCGCATTTGTCTGGGCTTTGACGAAGTTCCGCCCACACATTTATGGCCGCCCATTCGAAGTCGTTACGAACCACCACGCTCTATGCTGGCTATCATCGCTCAAAGACCCGTCGGGGCGCCTTGGTCGTTGGGCGCTTCGCCTACAGGAATACGACATTCGTGTTGTATACTGATTCGGCTGCAAGCACTCCGACGCTGATGCGCTATCCCGCTCGCCGCTACCGGCTGACCCAACCTCCTCGTCACCTTCTTCAGCTGTCGTAACAACAATTGACTTCACAGAAGTGGCATCGGAACAACGCAAAGATGTGTGGATTTCCCAACTCCTCGCCTTTCTGACTGATCCGTTAGCTAATTTGGTCTCAAGAACTATCCACCGTCAAGCCACACATTTCGCTATTCGAGACGACCTCCTCTATCGGCGGAATTACACGTCTGAAGGTCGGAGGTGGCTCTTAGTGATACCCAACCACATGCGTTCGGAAATCTGTACAGCTTTCCACAACGACCCACAAAGCGCTCACGCCGCCGATTTCAAAACGTACAACCGTCTACGTCAGCGGTACTACTGGCGCGGCATGTACACATTTGTTCGCAAGTACGTACGTCCTTGTACTGCATGCCAGCGACGTAAAGCCCCACCTCAACGCCCTGCCGGTACACTTCAGCCTCTGCCTTGTCCAGCGCATCCATTTGACCCCATCGGTATCGACTTATACGGACCACTTCCCACGTCGTCTTCTGGAAATAGGTGGATAATTGTCGGCGTGGACCACCTCACGCGTTACGCGGAGACGGCCGCACTACCCGCAGCAACCGCGAGGGAAGTTGCGTTTTTCATCTTGCGCAACTTCGTTCTTCGCCATGGTGCTCCCCGCGAACTTTTGAGTGACCGGGGGCGTGTTTTCTTGTCTGACGCCATTCAAGCCTTGCTCGCTCAGTGCAACATGGTTCATCGCATGACGACAGCATATCACCCGCAAACGAATGGCCTCACAGAACGATTTAATCGCACTCTCGGCGATATGTTGACGATGTACGCAGCTTCAGACCAGACCAATTAGGACACTGTCCTTCCATTCGTCACGTATGCGTATAACACCGCTACGCACGCGACAACAGGGTTTTCCCCTTTCTTTCTGTTGTACGGACGCGAACCATCGTGCACGCTGCACACTATCCTCCCATACACGCCCGACTCCTCTGAGTACACTGCAATTTCTGATGTTGCCAGGTACGCAGAAGATTGCAGACGATTGGCCCGTTCACTGACAACCGAGGACCAAGGCCACCAGAAGCTACGGCATGACGCCGACCGACATCTCTCTACTTTCACGACTGGTGCTCTTGTTTGGCTCTGGATTCCACCGAGTACTCCTGGCCTTTCCTCGAAATTACTGGCACGATACCACGGGCCCTACCGCATTCTCGCCCGTACGTCACCAGTCAATTATGAGATTGAGCCTTTGACACAGTCTCATGACTTACGTCGTCGTGGCCGAGAAATTGTGCATATGAGTCGCCTGAAGCCGTATTACGACCGCTCTATAGTGACTACGCCTTAAGTCCCCAGGTTGGCTATGCTATTCACCGGGGGCCAATGTAGGAAACTATGCGAACGACAACGAAGAAGATAGAAACGGCGAGCCACAGCGTTGGTGCACACGCGCGACTCAAGCTTGCGCTTGTTTTGTATTTTCGGCCTGTTGACGTTCCTTGCTCTTCTGGCGTTCCTTGACCTTCCAGTAGGCCTATACGTAAATAAACTACGTGACAAGTGCAAAGAAATTAGTCATTTTTGAAAATTTTAGAGTGAAGAATTCCAACTTAGCTTGCCGCTTTTAGTCCTTAAAAAAACTTGCAATAGGTCCTGAATAGTCCTTAAATATCCTTGAATTTTCCCTTTGGAAACCTGTACAAACCTTGTATGTGGCCCCCCTGGTCTGCAAGGTGTTTCCAACATAGGTCGCTGTGAAATGGTACACCTGTCTCTGCTGTCGCAACAGATAGAAGCAATGAGCCCAATTTTATTTTGTCGTCCTGACTTATGGGTTGTATGTGGCCTGTTTGTTGAGCAGGTCCCTGGGAAAATAGGCTAATTTAGAATGCTGTAGCAAACATCTTGTTTTCACAGCCACACAAAATGATTGATACTAGTATATTATATCACAAGAATTTGTAGAACAAGGAATGTGCTTTTTAATGGTATCACATTCAAGCAAAGGTTTCTCAACAATTTTACGAGAAAAGAAACTTTATTAGAAAATTTTTACTAAAACTAACAAGATTCTGTGAAAAAATCAATGCAGTTTTGCAATAACTAAAGAAAAAAATCGAATATGCATTTTTGTCAAAATGCCATATCAACCATCTCTGAAGATATAAACATTCCATCTGCAGACATCGATCAGATACAAAAGAAAAGGTTGACTCTTGAGGTTATTGTGCCACCACACAATGCAGTTGCGTGATGCAGTGAAGCACTGGTTTCTACAACATGTTTCAAAGAAACATGCTGTGGGAACTGTTTTTTTTTTCTGTTTTGCTTTTGGCTCGAGAGTATGCATTCATGCTTATTTATAAGTCATGTTGCACATATTATGATTCTTTTTCCAGGTAAAAAACAGCGTAAAGAAGCCGAATGTTTCAATGAAACTCTGTGCAGCATTATCGAGCGCATCGCAAATGTTCACTCATAGTAGTTTTATTGCACTAAACTCTGCTTGTTAACATGCTACTGGCAAATGGTCCTTCCTAAATGAACTTGGTACCCTGCAGATAAGAACTTTGACATTTGAATATATTGGATATATTTCAAACTGAATGCAGAAGATGTAGTTCTGTTACTGTTCCACAGCTGTTTTACGCTCTTTCGCTGTCAGTTATTTTGTCAATGATTAAGCCCAATCAGTCGAGATTATCTAGTGCTGCTCCCATAGTTATGGAAATTTACTATTTCAGAGACTGTGTGCACAATGTAGACTCCACGTTTGAATCTTTGAGTGCTCAGCCCCCTCAACTTCAGTGGAACTTCAGAACTCCCTCCACGACAGAAAAAGTAAAACCAAAGACCAGTTCCTATTACATGGTAGTTGTGCACATAAGCACTTCGTAGCTTTGGGAAATTTGAAGTTGCCGAAAGCGGGCTGTATATGGATGAGTATAGGCATAGATAGGGAAGTGTGAAGAAACGAGAGATATTTCACACATGCACTGGCATACTTTGATATTCCTGTTGCAAAGTGCTTGGTGTTCTGTTTTATGATAAGCAAAATTAGCATTAATACCCCATAAACAAAAAAGGCCACATGTTGCCTGCCTTTCAAACCTGGATAAATTACTTGATATTTGGGGAAATTTTTCCAAAAAGACAAACTAGCTGTAATGAAATGCCTGTAGAAATAAGTTCTTCTGGTGTACATACGTAAAGAAAAGTCTAATTGCCTAAAAAATAAAAATGGAAAAGGGTGAGGTGCTTTAGGAACTTCCTGTGCAGGTATGCTCACTGCAAAACCTGCTTTCTGCTGCAGACGGAGCGAAGGATCTTTCTCAACTTCCACCGGCAGGTGTTCTGTTGGATGGACAGGTGGTATGGCATGACCATGGCTGACATCCGCAAGCTGGAAGAGCAGACCAAAAAGGAATTGGATGAGGTAACCGCACACAAATGTCGCTGTCAACTAAAAGTTCACTTTCTTTAGTGTAGAGTATCGCATTCTAATATCTCAAAATTAGCTTTCTTGGCATTGGCTTGTGCTCTATCAGAACGAGTTTAAAGTATATGTAGAGTTTAAAGGGACACTAAAGGCAAATACTAAGTTGATGTCAACTGCTGAAGTACGTGTTTACTCGCATAATCCTTGCACTTTTTCCGGCAGAAAACCGATGCAAAGTTATGGGGGGTGCAAGAATTACGCGGTGTAACTTTCTACGAAAACGTACAGAGAAAAAAAGAAAACTAAGTGGCCGCAAATCGGGATTCTCGCACCAGCAACTGACAGCAAGCTTTGAGAAGTACTAATTAAAACTTACCTCGACATTAAAAGCACTGGTTCAACACAAGGCAAGATTTATTTGAGACACTATAAGTGCAATCAAATAGCAGAGAATTAGAATACCATACGCAAAGCTTGTGGGTGTTGCGGGCGTAGCCGTAGCATTCGTCGTGCAACAGAAGCCCTCAAAAGGTAAGCGTAGGACGTCAGTATTGGGCTGATGGCTATTTAACAGAATCATCCGCAATTTCCTTCTGAATAAAGTTTACAATCAATCCCAGTTTTAGGCACACGGCAGGCCCAATACGTCTTGGTGGCTTTCACCTGCCGACACCAGTAGCGAACACAAAACTCGTAGACTCCGAAGGGCCTACAGGTGGCCCTGTTGCCGTTGTTTAGTGCATGATCTATCACTTTCAACTTGAAAGCAGCCGTGTAGCTTCAGTATTGCCCCATAACATCACAAGATTACCGACGCAACATACAAAACGCGTCACAACATGCACTTCCCACTTTGGCTTGGCTTGGATTGGATAGAATCTCTGTGTAGTAATAGTTCGCCTGATGATTCAGAGATGGCGCCAGATAACACTCGCTATAATCATCAGTGGCTGGAACGAGCAGTTGACATTATTGCGCCAGTTTTCGGGGGAGCGATAATTACTCGAAAAAAAAATAAATTCTGGTTTTTTTTTTTTTTTTTTTTTTTTGACAATGGGGGGTGTGAGAATTATGCGAGTGTGAGGATTACGCGAGTAAATATGGTAGCGGTCCAGAAACCTCGTAGTGCTACTTTTGTGCCAAGAAAGTGCTTATTTTAAAATGAAATCCCGTTTTAGTGGTCCGCATCGCTTTAGCACACTTCAAGTTACCCGCTTCGAAGTGGAAACTGTCGTGTCACTGTTTCGGTGCGCAATGCTACCCGGCTTTAGTGCGCGGCAGCCGACACTAGTAGCAGCAGAGCGAAGGTAGTGGGAGTAGCAATAGCTGCAACAAAGCCATTGAACAATTTCCTGTTATGGCTTCTAAGATGGCAGGTGTGCTTGGTTCAAGTGGACCCCGCTAGATGGCATGACCGGTTCAGTTTAACCAGGTGAAAATTGAACTTTTGAACCACTCATGCCATTCCCCATACTAACGTTCGGTGGTTTTTTTTCATGAATCAAACAGAAATGAACAAGCAGCATTTTATTACGTCTCTTGATAGACAGAAACTTCCTTGTTTAGTGCAGTGAGTTTGACTACCACTGATTATTGTAAGCGGCGAGTCTGACGTCATCGGGATCATTTTGTGAATGTCTTGCTCATGGTGCATGTGTTTTCTTGATTTACCTCAATTTCTCGGTAAAAGGAGCACTGCTGTTGATAATAACATTGTTTTAGAGGTCATTAATTGAGCTTTCACTCGGGAATACTGTATTTACTAGCATAATAGGTGAACCTCTTTTCCTGAAAATCTGGCTCTAAGTTTTGGTAAAATTTCCGAAAACTTAATTTCTGACTACAGCATAAACCGCTGATAACATATACGTCGCCAAAGTCTCGAAGATCCGCGCTACAACCGAAACAACCTTCTTTCCACATAGGCTACACTGGCAGAAAACGTATTGAGCATGCAGTCTCGCATGTCCGAGAATCAATGCAGGCGATGCATTGAAATTTCAAAAAGATAGCATGGAAGACCCGTGTTGCCAACAAAATGAACGCAGAAAAAAAAAAAACTAAATGTAAGCGCCATCGCAGAATTTTGCCAGTTAGGTTTCAATTCACATAGACTATTTGAGCGTTGAATGGTACCGATCCTTCGATTTCACGAACTCGCGCCCCATATTCTAGGCATCATAATCAAATTGTGAACAACCATTCGAGTGTTGCAAGTGCCACTCAAGCCTTTTCCTTTAAGTGCAGCCAACGAAAAAAGTTGCGTTGATTTCAAACACCTGCAATATGATCGCCCGCGACTGCCACCGAAAGCACAAACAACGATTAGGCCTAACCTATGGTTTGGCATGTTGTAGTAGGAAGTTTTTACAAAATAACATGAAGATCGGGCATGAAAAAGATCGCACTCAAGCACTGCTTCTAGAGCAGTGTGCGTGATACGATGTTCAGGTTCGCGGGCAGGAAATAAACGGCTACAAGTGTCCACCGAGCTTTTGCAAGTCCGCATAGTAGCAGCGAATTCAAAAGATTCACTTTGGGAAGTCTAAAAGCTTTTAAGTTTGCAGATGAGGTATCAAACGCAATAACGATGACGTTTTTTCCAGCTGGAAACTCGATGCAAACTTGACAAAGACGAGATTGCCGTTCCATACGGAGCGCGCGCGGCCGGCTAGTGGCTGCAGCTATGCCCGCGCATTGGTGCAAAGATTACTTCGACACCCAGGCAACCGCCTTTCTTCCTCTCTCGGCAAGCCCACGGAGCTGGTGCAGCGGTCTTTTTTTCTTCTCTCGTTTCAGTTAATGTAAGAGGGCAGTGAATTTACTGATCACAGCCAAGTTCGGGGTGCACCTATTACGCGAGGAAATAAAAATCTGATTTCCCGCGACCAATCTGGAGGGGCGTCTATTATGCGAGTAAATACAGTAAATTGTTATTTGCCTTTAGTGTCCGTTAAGGTGTTTATATGATAATGTCGTGTACTATAGTTGTCACACAAGTCAGCTACTTGTTATTGGTCAGACCTAGCAGCACTTGTAGTACAGTGTTCGTAGCTGCACTATGCAGTATAAAGCAAGCACGTTAATTGGCCGTTGGTAATCACCAGGCAGATCCATAGCTTTAATGGTAAAGTAAAATCTCTAAACGCAAAAAAACAATGTGGGACCAAAATAGAGAAAGAACACACCAGAGCACACACACCAGAGAACTTGCGGTGTGCGTTTGTTTCTTGGCCTGTGTCGGTTATTCGCATTCAAAGATTTACTCTAGTTAAAAGGGCCTGCGATACTTTTGCGAAAGCCTTAATTAAAGCACTGGAAAACGTGTAGCAATGATCGCAGAGACGAATGCAACAAGAATGATGGAAATTGGTGCACGAAAAGCAACGATATGGGTCCTCAAAGTTCAAAACTCCAGTAGACGATGATAAGCAGCGCTCTCCTTTACATTTCACACCCTTTCTAGCGTCAAAGACCGCTGTCAATCGTAGCACGTCTCGTAAAGATATACGGGAAATGTCGCCTTGTGGTGGCCTCCGCACAATACCTCGCTACTGCTCTTTTCGACGGCGTTGTTAGCGTGGTTACAACGAACCACGTGCGTCTGGTAGCAGACGCTCCCACGGTCACACAGTGTAAGGTTCATACATACGTTTGGGTGGAGTCACTTCTCTGCTTGCATGCAAGACGTGTTCTACAGCAATGCCGGTGTCCGCCACAAGTCCCATTTTTGGCTTGCTAAAAACATGGCATACATTTCCACCTTTAGTTGCTGGCATACCATAACCTCTTTCGCAGATTGTCGTGTTCACTGTTCTAAAAATACATCATTTAAAAAACGGATTTAGAAAGGGGGATTTCTTTCTGGGAACGTATAAAAAGGGTTTCTGCTAGGGGTGTGTGGATATTCGATAGTTTCAAATATTTGTCAAACATTGCATTTGTAATATTTGTATTCGATTAGATAACCACATATTCAAAATTTTCGAATATTCGATGTTCACGAATGTTTGTTCGCATGTGTCACCGTGATGAACTTACAATTTTGCACATTTGCGATAAGAACCTCAGTAGATCGTGCAGTGATTATTTCGACTTCAGCACAAGGGCGGTAATGCCTGCATGGAAATTCCCGGGAGCGTGATGACGGCTACCGATGAATACGGTGTCACATCATCGCGACAAATCTACCTACTATATACATTGCAATCAATCTAAATTATGTACTGCCGGCACGACAGTACGTGGATCATGATGATAAGGGGCGCGAAAAACAACACACAACAGAGAAGAAGTACACGGGACGACGCGCTACTAGCAACTGGAATATTTTATTCAGGAAACACCATTTATACCGCAGTGACATCAGAGGGAGGGGCAGTGGCCCCTCCCTCTGGCAATACATTGCAGAGGATGCGATCAGGGTAACTGTAAGCCAGTATTTGAGCAGACAACTGTAATCTACAGGCACAGGGGCTCAGCGGAGAGGGAGATTATAGAAGCCCTCTTTATCCAGAGGGAGGGGCCTGATTGCATCAGCCACCCCTCTATCAGTCTGCAGGAAGGGGAGATAGCCTATCTGCAACGTTACTTATAGGCATGCTGAGCATGTATTTTTAGTTTTTGGGTTAAATTTGATGTCACTGCGGTATAAATGGTGTTTCCTGAATAAAATATTCCAGTTGCTAGTAGCGCGTCGTCCCGTGTACTTCTTCTCTGTTGTGTGTCGTTTTTTTCGCGCCCCTTATCATCATGAACCAGCACCAACTCGCCCAACTTTTTACTTTACTCAGTACGTGGAGTTTGCCGGTTTTAGTGCTGTTTGCTGCCGTCGAACGCCGTCCGCTGCCGCGCCCTTCTGCATGGATCGCAGGTGCATTTCGCTTGTGGAAACGAAGGCAACTCGCTGCTGCCGCGCTGGTTAAGCAAAATAGTTTTCACACCTTTGCTTGTTCCAGTGTTAAGTGAACATGAAGAAAAAAAAAATCTATACGCAG